TTTTGTGTGTGTGTGTGTGTGTGTGTGTGTGTGTGTGTGTAACCTTGGCTGTCCTAGAACTAGCTCTGTAGACCAGGCTGGCCTCGAACCCACAGACATCCACTTGTCTCTGCCTCCTGAATGCTGGGATTAAAGGCATGCGCCACCGCCACCTGGCTTGTTATTTCATTGTTATTTTCCTTCCCTTTTCATCTTTTTATCCTTTTGTACTTGTCTATTTCTGTGTGGCATCTCAATAGTATTCATGAAACTGAGAGTCCCAGCATATAGTCCCAGATATATATAGCGTGGGCAGAAGAGTCTTCTGTGGGAGCCTGCAATCCCTCGCTGTGCTCTTTGTCAGATCTCTCCAGTGACCTAGCAGCTGGAGAGAAGGAAGAGTGATGTCTTCGTGTGCAGCATGAGCGGTCAGGTCGGAATGACATTCAGTGGTTCTCTGTCTGGGTAGGACCATCCGGAGAGGCCATCCAGATCCATCATCAAACCCGGCAGAACATGGCAGAGCTGCAGGGCAACAGGCAGAGGGACCCCACCCACTCCTCTGCAGAGCTGTTGGAGTTGGCATATCATGAAGCTGCCGGAAGGTGAGGATTTGCACAGTACTCTGGAAGGTAGCCCAGGACAGTGCTGAACAGACTGCTGATAAAATGACACATTTGTGACTTAGAACACGTTGGTCAGGTCCTCCTTTGTCACCCAGCATCATTACCATCCCTGGGCAAAGGGTAAAAGCAAACAGCCTGATATTTTCCCTGTAATATTACCAAGGCCCTGCTTTAGGTTGGTTTTGAGCTTACATTTCTGTGAACTTAATTTTCTTCCAAACCTTGGTCAAGGATGAAAATGAGATATCTCTTTTATCTTAGGGTTTGCCTATGGCATGCTGGGGCAGTTGTTACATGCTGTTCTCTTAGACAGCTTCCCTGTGACTTGGCATATTGGTTTTTGAACAAAAGCTCTGAATGTCTTACAGAGTATCTGAAGAGTCAGTATAGGAAGAAAGTCATTTAAGCCTTGATGAGCAGGACCCTGGTTTAAACCTGGACTTATGGTCCTAAATTGCTTTAGGAAGCACTTGATAAAAAGCAGCCTTGGCCCCTTCTTTGGACACTGGACATCCTCTTTGCTGGGGGATGTTCATGTGGAGGTCTGGACTGTGCGTTGCCCTTTACTAGATTAACTCTGGTGCATCCATTTCATCATTTTGTATCCTTCCTTTGTTATTAAGGGGGAGGCATAGTGCAGAAAGGGGAAGTGGTATAGCATGGGGGTAGGTGAGCAGCCAGGGTTGCAGGGCTGGCACACAAATAAAACTACCGCATGATGGTTTGAGGTATGGATCCTAAGGGTTGCCAGCCTGTGCGACTGAATGTTCAGGCCTGTTTTTCATGGGCCCTCCTCTCTCCACTTACCCTCTCCCCTACGCACTAGGGTACAGGGTGTGCAGGGAAAAAAAGTGATGATCTACATTAATTAAGCCAGGCGGCCTGGCTTTGTTCTCTGCAGGCACAGCACTTCCCGCCAGCCTGGTGACAGCATGTCCTTGAACTTCAGTGGAACGGAAGAGCTTTCTGTCAGCCTGCTTAGCAACAGTGGTGCAGGTAACTCATCCAAGAAATAATAGAGTTGGGATGCTCAGAGCAGGCTCACATCTAGAAGTGACATAAAGGCCAGAAAAGCAGACCAGGTCTATTTTTGGGATCATTTCAGCCACAATCTGGGGTGACCTATTTAGAAGCAATACTGTATAATGCATGGAATTATAAATGGGCTGCACATTACATTTTTAGCTGAGAACATGTTGGTCAAGACATATTTATCATCATTTCGTCAGGGAGTCCTGACTGAGGGCTGTGAGGTGTTGAGGGCAGCACCACAGACCAAAGTAGGAGTAGTCTGTTTTACAGGCACTTTGGACTGCTAGGCCTGGGGAACAAATGCACCTTCATATAGAAACGATCCTTAGGGAAATATTGTGATTTCTGTCATAGCATCATAAAAGAGAACGATGCCTGTGGGTAGTGGCACATACCTTTTTTTTTTCTTCTCTTTTTTTATTTATTAATTAAAAATTTTTCACTTCTTTTACATCCCAACTGCAGTTTCTCCCTCTCTCCTCCTGTTCCCTCCCCTGCCTCCTCCTGCACCCCACCCCCACGCACAGGTTTCTATAGATAATTCTGGTGGTTGTACAGAGTGTGAGTGTACTCGGTGCACTTACAGTGGTTAAAATAGTAACTGTAGTGGTGTGGAAGGAAACGGCCCCCAATGGAGTGGCACTTTTAGGAGGTGTGGTCTTGTTGGAGGAAGTGTGTCACTGTGGGGGCGGGCTTTGAGGTCTTTGCTCAAGCTTCCCTTCAGTATGACTGCTGGTCGACTTCCTGTGGCCTGTAAGATGAGTGGCACATACCTTTAACCCCAGCACTCTAGAGGCAGAGCCACGCAGAGCCCTCTGAGTTTGAGGCCAGCCTGGTCTACATTGTGAGTTCTAGACCAGCCAAAGCTATATAATAAGATACTGTCCAAAAAAGAGAGAGGGTAGAGAGAGGTTAGTAGTTATGCTGAAGAGTATCTCAGGCTTAAAGGGATAGAAATTTGTTGGATGGAAAGTTAGAAGCTACAGATTCCAAGTGCAGGTGATGGGTGGAGTACCATCTTGGTTTGTACTCTTCTAGAAACACCTGTATAATTTAGTAATCCCAGGAAGGCATATATTACTAGACACAGATTATATGGTCAATTGGAAGCTTAGAGATACAGATAACAGTTTCTCACAGCAGTGCAGACATCCTCATTTGAGCACTCTACTCAGAATGCCTTTTAAGGATGTTAAAGGAACATGCGTTTAGATAGGTACCTTTTCTGCAAAGCAAGTATTTTACAAGATGAGTGTGGAAAAATTGAAACAACAAAATAGTACTACTTCAACATGTCTATGTCCTATAAATTGACTTGCATTTCTAGAACTCATCTTAAGATTTTTGAAAGTAAAGCTGTGTAAAGGGGTTTAATAAGGGCTGGAGGATGGTTCAGCAGTTAAGAGTACTGACTGCCCTTCCAGAGGACCTAGGTTCAATTTCTAGCACCCACATGTTGCCTCACAACTGTCTGTAACTCCATTTTCAGGGGACCCAAAACCCTTGACAAAACATTGATGCACAGAACAAAAGAAAAAAAGTGGGGTGGTTAATGATACTGTTCCTTGGTCACTGGTAGAGTGATCTGACTAAATTCCTAGAGCCCATGGAAAAGTGATTAAACTTGAGGAGTGAGTTGGCAATAGAATCCCCAAATCATTTCAATCTCATTCGATTCATTCATTTTAAATGAGAAACAAGTAAAAGTTTGGGGCTCTGGAGCTATTTTTTTTTAAAGATTTTATTTATTATGCATACAGTGTTATGCCTACATACCAGAAGAGGGCGCCAGATCTCACTACAGAGGGTTGTGAGCCACCATGTGGGTGCTGGGAATTGAACTCAGAACCTCTGGAAGAACAGCCAGTGTTCTTAACCACTGAGCCATCTCTCCAGCCCCATATTTTTATGTCATATATTCAGGGTGCTTAAATATTACAGGGCTGCAAGATTTCCTAAAGTGCCTGCAGAATGTTACAAAGGCAATATTTCTATTACTTTGCTAAACTAGGAAGCTTGTTTTTAGGAACCAAAATTTGAGTTTTCCTGGCTTTGGGGTGTAGAAGGTTACTGAGGAAGGCTGTTCTGGTGTTCCATGGACTGTTCCTTGAGCTAGCTTGACCAGTGACCAGAAGCAGGAAGATTTAATTGAACCCGGATCCTCTTAGCTGAGAGTTTCCTGGCACACATGTGCACACAGACAGGCAGGCACTGGGACAGCATTTGCTTGCAGCCTGGCTCTCTGGCTCACCTTTTCCTCTTGGGCTCCTAAGTTGTCAGTCTGCCTAGCGGATGGACTACTCTGCTTGGGTGGCAGATGCCCCATCATGGATGTGGTATCGTCTGCCCACCCTTCCTTCTCTTCTGCTCCTTTGTCCTGAGGCTGGCTCCTCAGCTCGCTACTTGTGGCTTTTGTGCAGGCCTTTGTTGTCTCTGTTCAGGATCATCACAGTAGCTCTTCCTGTCCTGTTCCTTTCTCATTCAGGGAACTACCATGCTGTCACCAATGAGGTGTTTCAAATTGCAGATCTGACCAGCTTTTTCTTCTCACATGCACAGCCTTCAGTGGCTCTTTATGGCTCTTGACACCAGTCATCACCTCTCTCCTGTGTCCCTTCGTGTCTTCACTTGACTCCACTTTAACAAGGTGTTGAGTATGGAAAGAGTACAAGTTCTAGAATCTTAGGACATGAGGCTTGTTCCACCTCTAATGAGTAGTGAGTGCTTTGGGCCAGTTTCTAACTTCTTACACCTCAGTTTCTTCATTGTGAAGGGAATTTTATGAAAATGTTAACAAAAACTAAAAATAAATGTGACAACCATATGAATGCTTAGAACAGTGCCTAGCAGACATGAGTGGTCAACAGATAGGGGGTGTTGTTAATAATACATGGGTTTTTCTTATATCCCAGCTATGGTCTTCATATTTCTGTGTGTCATCTCATCATCACAATGTAGAATAAGCTCCTTTCCTGTCTGCAAGCCCTATTCTGCCTGAAAACATCCACTTTCCATGATGGTTCAGCTCCAAATGTGCCTCCTTGTTTGAAGCTTTTCCTTGAGGTTTCCTTTCCATCTCATGCTTTCCTGAGAGATGTTAGACATGCTTCCACACAGCTCCTGACCTGATCCCAATTGCACGACTTGGTACATGGTGACCCCACTGCTTTCATATCTCTCTCTCCACAGACTTAAGGTGTTTACTCTTATTTGTCTCTTCATAGTGTTTGGCATGTTTATTTACAAATGAAGTTTTATTTCAAAGACTACACTGTCATGTAAGAAGTTTTAGAATGACTTACAAAATTATTGTTTAATTTGTACTTGAGTATTTGTGTATGTGTGTATGTGTGTACTTGTGTGTATTCTACAGTGTTTAGCTTCTTAGAAACTATGGGCTCCTTGGGTTGTTTTTCCTGGTCAGGGTGATACAGTTATAAGAGGTTACCCTTTTCTTGCCTATCCCCTTATGACTTATAACATAAGTTTTGAAAAGGGCCAGAGGTCATCAGGAAGTAGTCCATAACCTATAGTTGGGTTTTTTTATTCTTTGGGCTCTTTTGGTGTCCTGCCACCCAGTTCCCAAATAAATACATAGAGGCTTATTCTTACTTATGAAATCCCAGCCTTAGCTTGGCTTGTTTCTAGCCAGGTTTTCTTAAATTATCCTGTCTATCTTTTGCTTCTGGGCTTTTACCTTTCTCTATTCTGTATACCTTTTTTAGTTCTTACTCTGTAGCTTGTTTTATAGCTGGGTGGCTGGCCCCTGATGTCCTCCTCCTGCTCCTTTTTTTCCACTCCTAGATCCCCGCTCCCAGATTCCTTCTCCTATTTATTCTCTCTGCCTACAGCCCTGCCTGTCCTTTCTCCTGCCTTGCTATTGGCCATTCAGCTCTTTATTAAACTAATCAGGTGTTTTAGACAGGCAAAGTAACACAGCTTCACAGAGTTAAACAAATGCAACATAAAAGAATGCAACACATCTTTGCATCATTAAACAAATATTCCACAGCATAAACAAATGTAACATCTTCAGCTACTATATATATATTTTCCTTGAGGTTTCCTTTCCATCTCATGCTTAATATATATTAAGGTTTTTCAAGATAGGGTTTCTCTGTGTAGTTTTGGAGCCTGTTCTGGAACTCACTTTGTAGACCAAGATGGCCTCGAACTCACAGACATCTGCCTGCCTCTGCCTCCTGAGTGCTGGAATTAAAGGCGTGCACCACCACCACCCGGCTCAGCTAATATTCTTCAACAGTAACCACATGGGAATTGAGTTTTATTTTTGAACCAAGGCTACCTGATAAATCATATTAATGAGCACAAAAGGAAATTAGATTAAATCTTCATAATTTTTATTCCCATGATACAATAATAACAGTTAGTATCCAGGCTCTCTTAGGGTATATGTAGAAACTTTTCTTTGTGGTTCTATCCTAGCCTAAGGTGTTGTCTTTTACTTGGGTGTAGTAGTCTGCTAGCTTTCTTTTTGGCTCTTTCCTTCTGTTTATTTTCTTTCTTAAAGATGTGTTTATTTATTTGTGTTTGTGTGTATATGTGTATGTGCAGTATTTAAGCATATATTGGGGGAGATGTACACAATTGTGTACATGCAGAGGCAGGTAAGGGCATCAGGTGTCCTCTTCTATTACTCTTCATCCATATATTTGTGGCTGGATCTATAAACAGAAGTTTCTGTCCCACCAACAACTCCCAAATACCCAGCAGCTGTTTCCCAAATACTTGACTCTGAGACTTAATATTACTTATAAATGTTTGGCTAGTAGCTCAGGCTTATTACTAACTAGCTCTTAAACTTAAATTAACCCATAGTTCTTATCTATGTTTAGCCACATGGTTGGTGGCTTGTTACCTCAGTTTTTACATGTCTTGCTTCCTTAGCATCTGGCTGGCATCTGCCCAACTCTGCCCTTCTCCCTATATCTCCGTTTGGCTTT